AAACCTACGGAGAAACCAGAGCCTACATCACCTGATCCCCGGGTTTTTTTCACTGCACCATGTTACCTCCCCCCAACAATTAGTTTTATTTAAAACACTAAAAATTCAACCACTTACCTTAGTTTGAAACTTTTGTCAAGTTAAATCAACTGCAATTTTTATTAATCTTAATTTTCCTTATTTTAATATACTAAATTTTACAATGGGTGTTGAACCTTTTCAATGCCATGTTTTTGCTTTGTCCTTTATTTTTTTAAAGTGAGCTCTACACCCAATGTGGGGCGTGAACTCATGACCCTAAGATCAAGAGTCACATGCTGTACTGATTGAGCCAGCCAGGTCACCCCTCTTTTTGTTTTTTGATATGATGTATCTGTAATAGATTTTAAGTTTTGTTCCTGGGACAAATCCCATTGATTATTTTTAATACACACTGGATTCAGTTAGCTAATATTCTGTCTGGCGGTTTTGCATCTATACTTGTATGTAAAATGAGTCCGTTAATTTTCCTGTAGTGTCCTTTAGGTAGCTTTGACATCTATTCACTTAATTTAGTCAGGGAGCAAATGCCCTTGTATTACAATGTATACACACTGAAAGCAATGCCACTTATCTAATGTTCACATTTCCTCCCCCAAGTGCCACACTATTTCCCTCTCCAAGTTATCTTCCTTTAACCCCTTCACATATTCTCCTATTCCTTAAAAAAAAAAATAAAATAAAAATTCTTTCACCCTCCTCCCCCATTTTCAAGTTGGTCCTCCCCATCGAAGTCCTATTATGAACTGTTAACCCCTTTTCAAAGATGGCAAAATGCGCTACTACCATGAGAAAGAGTAATACCCTGTGGCAGTGTGTCTCATGGGGAAGATCACATTGGTTGTGGGTTGGTCACACGTGGATTTGAATTTCTGCTTCACCTCTTCACAGGTGAACTAGGCCAGTTAATTTAGCCAAGCCTCAGCTACCTTACATATGAGATGGGAATAACATACACCTTGCTTGAAGAGTTGTTTGAAGAATGTGAAATATGTGTAAAGTTTCTGGCAGAAAATTTGGCACAAAAAAAGTTGCTCAGTGATAGCTCTTTTGGGTTTTGACGTGATTTTATTTTTTCTAAAATTGAAGGTTGAAAAAATACTTCTCTTAAAGGTCCACAATCTCTAATCCATAATTTAGAAATTCAGGAAGTTCTGAAAACCAAATGTTTCAGGTTTACCTAACAATAGAAGGGCTTTTTAGCTGCATTTTTTTTGTTAGTGTGAAAATTCAGTTTTACTACAGAGACATTAAGGTGTTTGATTACAGGCAGAACTCAATGGTGATAGCCCGTTAATTCACAGTAGGCCCCGTTACTTCTAAAATTTTTGAAAATAACTGAACTTCCAAAACACACATGGCTCCAAAGGTTTCAAACTATACAGGGACTGCTGACCTGTACTACCTTCTATGTGGAATCAAACACAGACAATGCAGATCTAGCAGAAACAAGAATGGTTAAAACTCATGCAGTTTAAATACAGTTTTGCTACTATTTTTATACTTTAATTCCTTTGGCTTCAAAGTCATCACTGGTAAATTGAAGGAACTGGACTCAATCTCTGAAGTTCTTTTTAGTTTTTCAAAAACGTACTTTCAGTTAAATATCTCTGAAAATTATTTTAAATTGAGTTAAACAAAACTGCTCTTATTTAAACCATTTTTTTTAAATTATTTTTATCAATCAATATGAACCTATGCTTTCACATCTAAACTTTCAAGGTTTAAAGTTCCTTGCAGTCTCAAGTACTAAACAAAAAACAACCAGATTTCAAGTACACTTATGTTCTGAAGAAAGGAGCCAACATCGATCTGATGACTTGGGATCATTTTCAATAAGGGAGGAGGATCTTTGGAGAATACATTACGCTGAATTTCAAGAAACCTGGTTTCTAGTCTGGGCAAGTCAGTCAATCTCTGATTTTTCTTTCTCATCTTTACAAGTAATAACATTTTCCTTCCTTCCTCACAAGAATCATGAAAGCACTCTGAAGAGTTAAAAGTGCCGGTATACTACAGTTAACATCAATACTTAACAGGCTGAAGGTAAAGCGATTATTCTTCACAAAGGGTGAGGGTAAGAGGCCTGAGAATTAAGAAATCTAGGTTTAGGGCCAACCTCTGCATCTAGTATGTGATGCAAGACACTTCACTTGTCCAGGTCCCTATTAAGTCACTTGTAAAATGAATTTGCCTAAATTTCTTCCTAGCTCCAAGGCTGTAACTTTATGCTATAAAACTGAACCCAAGGCCTAAAATATTTGAGCTCTCATTTATATACCATGAGTCAGATGCTGTAAAAGGTAGGGACAGCAACACTGTATGAACAAAACTACTCAGATGTGTTGCACACATCTCTGGAAAAATCTGCTCCAGCTTATCAGTTCATCGTTCCCTGCACATGGAAATTGGTGTCAAGTAGCCATTAGTACACTGCTAATTCTTCTTTAAATGCTCAGGTTAGTATTAAAATGAAAATGAGTAATGCTTACAATAAATATGAACAGCAGAAAAACCTCCAAAATTATATATATGCCCGAAAGGGCAGAAATATGTCCTAAAAGCAGCAGCACTCACACTTATTTCTCAACTTGTGCTTTTTTTTTTGGTTTTTAAACAGGTCGATCATTCTGATATCTGGTTAATGTCTACCATTAATTTTTTGTCAAATGCCCTCAGGTATACAGATTCTTCATTTACACCTTGGAACAAAGGCACTTCCCTAAGACAGGACTTTATTGCAAAATTTAACAAACCACCAAACTCAAGTTTAATTATTTCTGCTTTATTATTGGTCATGAGTATATTAAAAACTTTTTAAAGTTACAAAGAGACTTTAATCACTAAAATATATAATCAGAAACCAAGTTGCTTTAAAATAATATGAAAGTGACCCCAAAAGCCAATATATTTTCATTCTTCAATTAGGGGCAAATAGACAATTAAAATTACTTTTAACAACATAATGAACAAGAAAAAGGTTGTGAAGTCCCAAAGCCTCCAAAAAACGGACACACCCAGGCTCAATATAGTCCCACCTGGTGATATTAAAAATAATAATAATAATTAAAAAAATCAAAGTTTCAAGTAAAAAAAAAAAAAAAGTTCTGTTCGTGCTCCAGTATCTAAATCTGGGAACACAAATTCAGGCAGATGAATATAATAAAGTCACAACTATAATATAAAGTCATCAAAACCTAGTGAACCGAAGCTGAAAGGTAGAAAAAAAATAGTCCAATTTCACCACACAGTAATTTACTTCCAGAGACAGGAGATCCAATCCAGATGAATCAAATCTTTATTACGATATTGTCTACTTAACCTGATCCTAAAGAAAATATTCTACATAAATTGATGGGATACATTGATCATTTTCATGTCAAAAAAAGTATGCATACTATCATCTGAAAAATCTATTCAGACTCCTTGCCAGAAAGCGGGCAAACTCTTCCCGGTGGCGACGGTGAGTTACCAGAGATGCGGGCAGAAATTAGAAGGCAGAAAAGCAGTCAGGTAGTTAGTTAGCACTCTCCTCATGCCCACCCCGAGCGTGGAAGTATGCAGTCCCATACCACCACCAGTTGGGAGACGGATGATCTAGTCAGGAGCTAGAACGGTGTGGAACAAAACCCTTTCCCGGGTTCCAAACCTCTCCTTAGAGCTCTAGGTCAAAATACTTCCGTTTCTCACAAAACTTGGAATGAAGAAGGGGAAGCAACAACTGTTAAAACATTTAAAATCTAAACCTTTACCTATTTATCTAGAAAACACTATGCGAAGCAGCCAATTCCTTAACATCGAAAGCGTCACGGACATTACATTAAAAGTAACAGTTATTTGCAACAGCTCTCCCTTTAAAGGCCTCAACACATTGGATTAAGCCACACCCCTCCATAAATGGCACATTCCATACAATAGCCAGGAGGACGGCAAAGGGCGATCCCACCGTCCACTGGGGAACTGCAAACTTGTTGAAATTCTCAGAATCGCGTCTACTGGCTACCTGAACCTAGTCCCTTTATTATTAGGTTATGTGGGGGGGGAAGAGAGGGTTACAAACACATCCGAGACACGTACGCCGAGTGAGCGTAGACAGGCAGCGGGAACGAGAACCACACGGGATTTGGGTCGTGCTGTTAACCCGCACCTTCCTGAGTAGGGACATTTCCCCGAGAAGGACATTTCTAGTCGGAGGGAAACAGCGAGCTCGGTGTGGGGGGAGGGGAAGCAGTTAACCCGCTGCGCATTCCGAGTCGGGGGAAAGGCAACAGTCATTATTTTCCAGGGCCCCGTCCCGGGCTCTCACTTTTGCCGGAGGGGAAAAGAACGGGTCCCGCCCACGCCCGGCCCAATCCGGGAGGCGGGGCCCTGCAGCGACCCTGGAGGACAGAGGCGGGGCTCGTTGGCAGTACTGCCCCTCCCCCTTTGCATGGAACACCCCCGTCCGCTAGAGAAAGAGGGCTGAGTTCCCCCACCCCCACGCAAGCAGAAGGGGTAAGGGGCCACTCGGCCGTCTCGGCCCCTCCTCACTTAAGGTGGGGTGGGGAACCGAGTCCGAGTTCGACTCGGCTGATCTCCCCGAAGGCTCCAAGGGGTTGGCCCCGAGGAGGTGGGGCCTGGGTGGGGGCGCTGACTTCACACCCCTCTCCCTCCAGCCGCTGGCGGTTCAGGGAACACCCCGCCCGCACCAGTGCGGCGGGTGGGGGAGGCAGCAGAGCAGCCTGGAGCCCTGCAGCGGCGCGGGGCGGGGAGGAGCGCGCGCATGGGCGCGCGGCCGCCACCCCCGCGCAGCCCCGCGCGCCAGCAGGGCCCCCCACGCTCAAGGGCGCGCGCGGGCCCCGAAAGGGAGGAGGCCGCGCGTGGCACCGGAGAGGGCCGACTGCAGGCTTCTGTCCCCCAGTCCTTCACCACTCACCCCCAACCCCCTCCATCCCGCTCCAGGCCTCGGACTCCGCACTGACCTGACAGGCCGAGACATGTTCGCTGTCGAAACAGGACCGAGTCGAGAAGCCAAAGACCAGGACCCCCCCCACCCCGCGCGCTCGGCGCCCCACCCCCCCCAACTTCGGCCGATGGGGCCGCTGCCGCCGAACCCCGAGCTGCAGGCTTCTCAAACTCCGCTGCTTCTTGGTTCAGGGCCCCTTAATCAGACGAGCCCCCCGCTCCCCCGTCTCTTCAAAATGGATGAATCAAACCAGCCGAAAATGCGCCAAAGCCGCGGTGCAACCAAACCCCCTAGGGCCTGTGGGCTCCGCCCCATCACGCCCGGTCATTGGTGGTTTCTGCCAGATGCGCCGAGCTCATTAGCCTGTTTGAATCATCACGTCCCCCAGACCCCGCCCCGCGCACTGATAGGCCCCGCCTCCTCCGTGGGGTCCTGTTAGTCAAGATGCTCTGAGAGCGCACGGCCGCAAAACAAAAATGGTCGCTGCTTGGCCCGCCCCCTGGTTTCCACTCCGGAATTGCAGATTCGTTTTGGGTCGCATCTTGGAACGACTAGAAAAAAAGATTTACATAGGGTTCAATGTCATTTAGTGGTAGTTTAACGATGTTTCATTTCGCCTGCCTTGATCATCTAGAAACTGCACTAATAGCAAAACCCGTGGAATAGGCAGCCGATTCGTCACTAAGGCGCTGCTTCAGAATTGGAGGGAAATTTCATAGGTTCAAAATTTTTGACCTTAAACGCGCAATCCCTCTCCCATGGCTCCAGCAACAGCCCTCAGGGTCCCCAACCGCTGTTGGAGCGGCGAGGCAGGATCATAATCAAGGAATAACTTCACTTCCGATTTCCATTCTCCATTCTGGACCTTGAGATCTATTTCAGGGTCATTAGAGTCCCAGTCTCCGGCATTACTTCAGGGACTTAATGATTAGAAGCATGTGCTCTGGGGCCACGGCGCGTTTTGGTTTGAACCTCAGGTCCACAGCTTAGTAGTTGCAGAACTTTAATCACTGTGCCTCAGTTTTCTCAAGTGCAAAATGGGGACCAAAGAAAATTACCTCATAGGGTTATTAGGATTAAATGAGTTGAAATGCGAAAAGCCCCTAGGACAGTCACCAGTGCACAGTGAGCAATATCTTAAGTATTTGTTAAATTCAATTTTTGAAAATGACCCTATCCTTGCATTCTTTTTTTAGGGAAGAGAATGGCATAGTCCACCAGCGAAGCATTAAACAAGTTATCTTCTCCCTTTAGCCATGTCACTCTACCCTTTCTTCCCTGAATTTGTGTGTGTGTGTGTGTGTGTGTGTGTGTAGTAAAAAAGTGCAATCATTAAATTCACCATTTTATCTATTTTTAAGTGCATAGTTCAGTAGCATTAAGTACATTTGCATTGTTGTGCAACTCTCACCACCATCCATCTCCAAAACATTTTCACCTTCCTGAGGTACCATTAAACACTAATTCTCCATTCCTTGTCTCCCCAGATTTTGGCACCCATCATTTTACTTTCTGTTTTTATGAATTTGACTACTCTAGGAACCTCATATAAGTAGAATCATGTAATATTTATGCTTTTGTGTTGACAGATTTCACTTAGCCTAATGTCTCCCAGGTTCATTCATGTTTTGGTATGTATCAAAATGTTTTACTTTTTAAAGGCCAAATAATATTTCAATGTATGTATATACCACATTTTGTTTACCCATTTAACTGTCAGTGGACACTTGGGTTACTTCCAGATTTTCACCATGGTGAATAATGCTACTGTGAACATGGGTGTACAAATATCTCTTTGAACCCCTGCTTTCAGTTCTTTGGGGTATACACCCAGAAGTAGAATTGCTAGCCATATAGTCATATTGTTTTTAATATTTGAGGACTCTCCATTCTGTTTTCCACAGCAACTGCATCGTTTTCATCCCCATCAACCCTGCACAAGGGCTCCAGTTTCTCCACATTCTTGTCAACACTTCTGGTTTTTTGGGAGTAAGCTTCCTCAATCAGTGTCTGAATATATTTTGACTAAGTGTATCGTCAAGCATATGATTTTCAAAATGCCAGTGCAGAGACTGGGGCAGTGCAGTGATCACAAGTGACTTTACTGAAGGTTGTTTTCTTAGGGCAGATTGCTATTATTTTAGAAAATACCTTTCTTTAGTACTGTGAGATGAGGCAGAGATATTCTTGTTACTCATTTATTAGGTCATGAAGGGAACTGGCCATAGTCAACATGTGCAGGTACATGGAAAATTCAGGACAGGTCTTCCAGGCCTTGCCCTCCTAGTTTAGTTCATGGCCAATTGATAGATGGCCACTGTATTAAGGCTCTTCCTCTTCCAAGGTGAGGGTCATACCCTACTCTCTCCTCACTTCAGCTTTAGCTAATATCTTCCCTCCATATGCTTCTTCATTCACTGAATCTTTCAACAAACACTGTCTCTTAAGAAGAAAGGAACTGAAGATTTGAACTTCTAGTTTACTTTTTAGTGGACAAGTACTGAATTATGCCTTCAGGAGCTCCAGCACTGTGTCTCTGGATACCAGAACCGGGAATGCAATCTTCAAGGTCAGTTCCCTCTCGCCCATCCCCAAGTGCTCTGCCCTAGGCACATGTCTCAGCCACAACCAGTTTGTTGGAAACTGAAGACATCATACGACAGGGTAGACTTTAAAAGCACCATCAGACAACACTGAACAGACAATATACATCATAAAACTATAAAGAACTATGAAAAGAAAAAAAAGCTAAGGAGACAGAAGATAGTCATTCCTTTTGCCTGGAAATTGATATTTAATGAGTCTTTATTTTATTTAAAATATTTTATTTATTTATCAGACAGAGATCACAAGCAGGCAGAGAGGCAGGCAGAGAGAGATGGGGAAGCAGGCTCCCTGCTGAGCAGAGAGCGGATTGCAATTGCAGGGCTTGATCCCAGAACCCTGGGATCATGACCTGAGCCAAAGGCAGAGGCTTTAACCCACTGAGCCACCCAGGTGCCCCTTAATGGGCCTTTTAAACTCAATGCTTTATTTCCCTATGATTGTAGTTATATCTTGGGAAGCAGTGTTTTCCTTCTCCCGTTAGGGTTTAAGATGCTAAGAAATGGCAGTGCTGGGGTGGCAGACTGAGGACTCTTCCCTGTCCCTAACAAAGACCCATTTCCTTCAAGGCTATGCTATAGTAGCTGGAAGATGTATAACAAATTTTGAGCACTTACTCTGTGCTGGGCACACTTCTAGTCCTGTGACCTCATGAAAGTTATCCAGCTAGATCTAAAGACAGACACTACTTCCATTGATCACAGGAGCACACAAAGCTACCTATCTTTGAAGACCCTGCCAGGAAGTTAAAGAAAATTTCTCCCAGGCTTTTTTTTTTTTTTTTTTTTAACTTCTATCTCCAATCTGCTGACTCTTGCTCACCATACTCATAAGAAAGGAGGGGACACAAAGGCTGTATGTCTAGTTCGTCTGTCTACAACCCCAGAGGTTGGGTAGCTTTGGAGACATGTTCATGGTTAAGGAGGATGGTCCTCTGCCCTCAGATCACAGCCAGAAAGACTGGGCCCCAGTCAATTTAAATGTTTAATTTCATTTTCTTGTGTATATATTTCTTCTGCCCCAGACTTCTTTCTTCCTCTCTATTTTAAAGTGTTAAGAGCTAAGGTTAGGTGGATTTCTGTAAATAGAAGTTTTGTTTGGGTTGTGGGACTATGGGAGCATTCGATTTTTCTTCTTCATTTTCCTTCATGAGATTTAAAATTTTTCGTGACAAAAGTATTTAAAAAATCTATGTACCCACTTAAAAAATTACTCTTTGTTTCTGTCATACTGAGCATTTGTTATATGGAAAAAATTCAAGGATGCCACCACCAGAACATACACATAAAAAATGAGAAGCAGTGTATTCTGTAGTGAAGGGTCATTTTCTGGAGTCACACTGCTTGAGGCTAGCATACTTGCTAGGTAACCTTGGGCAAAGGCTGATTTTTTTGTACCTGTTTCCATATATATGCCTATCATAGGGTCACTGTGAAAATAAAAATAATCCACGTGAAGTGCTTAGGGGAATACTTAGCACTCAGCACTCAGATGTTAGCTACTGGCAGCAACAGTTGAAAATGGAAAGGTGGTTAAAATCCTTGTACTTGCAAATCAGATAGCTGATATTCAAAATTAAATGAAAAAAAAAATTAAATGATAGTCACTGAATTTGGGTGACGTTATCTTAGAAAGTGAAACTTGTTGATTAAATATCTTAGGGAAGAGGAACCTGGGTGGCTCAGTTGGTTAAGCAACTGCCTTCAGCTCAGGTCATGATTCTGGAGTCCCTGGATTGAGTCCCACATCAGGCTCCCGGCTCAGCAGGGAGTCTGCTTCTCCTGCTGACCTCTCTCCTCTTGTGCTCTCTCTCTCTCAAATAAATAAATAAAATCTTTAAAATAAATAAATAAATAAATATCTTAGGAAATAGCGTACTGCATGCTACTCAAACTGTACTTACTGGGCCCCCAAATTTACTATGGAAACATGCATGTCTCCATTCCATATATGAACACGGTCTCAAAAGCTAACATAAACCAGAAGCTCCAAACCCCAAAGGGTCAGTTCTGTTTCTCTAAATGTTAGGACCTATTTTCCTTCTTTAAAGATTTTTTAAAAAATTTTTAAGTCATCTCTACACCCAACATGGGGCTCAAACCCATAACCTCTGAGGTTAAGAGTTGTATGTTCCAAGGACTGAGCCATCCAGGAGCCCCTGGGCTTATTTTCTAAAATAGGTTTTTCAGGGGGCGCCTGGGTGGCTCAGTGGGTTAGGTGTCTGCCTTCGGCTCAGGTCATGATCTCAGGGTCATGGGATCGAGTCCCGCATCAGTCTCTCTGCTCAGCGGGGAGCCTGCTTCCTCCTCTCTCTCTGCCTGCCTCTCTGCCTACTTGTGATTTCTGTCTGTCAAATAAATAAATAATCTTAAAAAAAAAATAAAATAGGTTTTTCAGGTCCAGTGTTCCCAGAAACCTGACAGAACGGAGATGGGAAATTCAGACTTGCAGTTAAGTCTTGACTTTATTACAAATTCAACTGGCTGCCTTTCGGTTAGTCAAATTTCGAGACGTTCCCTCAAACATAAAATGTGAAGAACTGTTCGCTTTCTTATTTCAAAGATGGCGTAAGAAGCGTACACAACTCACAGATCTGAGGGAAGAGTTTATATCAAATTAGGTATTAGCAGCCAGTACTCCTGGGCTGCCCTCCTCACAGCATGACCAATTATAAAATGCTTACCTTATCTCCTTGCTTATCCTACCTGTTCTCTCTTTATTCTCATTACTGTGTGGTTAGTTCCTAATCCCATACCCTTTGAGTGTGAATCAAATTTTGAGTGTGAAGAGGAATCGAAACACTACCATCGTGGGGTACCTGGGTGCCTCAGTCGGTTGAGCGTCTGACTCTTGATTTCGGCTCAGGTCATGATCTCAGGGTCGTGAGATGGAGCCCTGTGTAGAGCTCTTCACTCAGGCGAGGAGTCTGCTTTCCTCTCTCTCCCTCTCTCTCCCTGCCCCTCCCCCACCTTCCCCTCTCAAATAAATAAATAAATCTTTAAACAAAACAAAATACCACCATTACACAATGAAATGCTTTGAAGTGTAGGTGATAGTTAGTCAATTTGACTAGGCCATGGCATGTCCAAATATCTGGTCAAACATCATTCTGGGTGTTTCTGTGAGGGTGTTTTTGGATGTGATTCACACTGAAATCAGTAGATAGAATATAGTGGATTATCCTCCATAAATATGAAAGGGTCTCATCCAGTCAGTTGAGGGCCTGAAGAGAACAAAAGATTGACCCTCTCTTGGGTGAAATAGAATTCTCCTGGGTCATGGCTTTCAAGCTGGAATTATCAGCTCCTCTAGCCTACCAGCTCTGAGACTCGAACTGGAACTCCAGTCTGCATGTTGGACTCACCAGTCTCCACAACCGCACGAAACAATTCCTTATAATAAATCCCTTTACGTATGTATCTCCTCTTAGTTGTGTTTCCTTGGAGAATCCTAATACAGAGCAGTACCGTTACATACTGAAACCCTGCAGATTAAATTTAAGAGGATTCAAATTATGCTTGAAAGCCAGACAGAAGGCAGGGTTTCTCTACCAATGAAGGCCATATATAGATATATTCTCGAGTCACAGGTATTTATGGCCAAAGCAAAAATACATGTAGTATTTTCCAACACATACCATTTTCTAGTGGCTTCCTACCTATTCCAACCTGCACCTTTGGGGATTCCTTGGCTTTCATAAATGAATCACTTACATCACTCCATAAATGAATCACTTACATCACTAAAGCTTCTTCAGCAGGGTACCATGACCCAAGAGGATAAAGGGGAAAAGAGGTTTGTTTCCTTGGGCAAAGTGCCAATGGATCTTATAGAACACCATGGAGACATTTATACCTTCTAACCACAACCTGAGATCATGTCAAAAGCAGACTACTGCTTACAAAAGGCACCAGCAGACAGGAAGAGCCTCATGTTAGATGGGACAGTGTCCTGAGGACAGATGAAAGACCACTTAAAGACGAGTTAAATCTGGAGATGATAGGACAGAGAAATTTTTTTTTTTTTTAAGATTTTAGTTATTTGAGAGAGAGGGAGAACGTGCAAGAGAGAGCACTAGCAGAGGGAGAGCACGAGTGTGGGGAGATGCAGACTCTCTCCATAGCAGGGAGCCCAATGTGGGGTTTGATCCTAGGACTCTGGTATCATGACCTGAGCCGAAGGCAGCCACTTAACCAAGCCACTCAGGCACCCCTGGAAATGATAGAACAAAATGAGGAACCCAAACATATCTTAGTAATAGCTAAGGCAAATGAATTTGGGAAATCATCTGGGGAGTAATTCTGGCTCATTAGTACTAAGTAACAAAAGAGCAAATACATCACTTAGTGCAGAGGGGCCTTCCTTGACCTGTGGTCTCTTTTTCTCTGCTCGTTTGGTCACTCAGCTATTCTGGTCAAAGTCCAAAGCCAGGGCACGGGGGCTTGGGTGGCTCAGTGGGTTGAACATCTGACTCTTTATTTCAGCTCACTTCATAATCTCGGGGTCCTGGGATCAAGCCCCACACCAGGCTCTACGCCCGGTGGGGTAGGCTTGAGGATTCTTCCTGCCCCCTCTTAGCTTCCTCTCTCAAATAAATAAATAAATTTTGATTTTTTTTTTTTTTTAAGTCCAAAGCCAGGGCAGTCACAATCCCCCAGCTCTGTTCTCAGCCTTTCCTTGGGTCTCTTAAAAACACTCTGCTGGAAATGCTTGTTTTCTTTTTGTCCAAAGACCAGCTGAGTGGCTGGAAGGGCATCCTGTCTGAAATATGGAACCTTCTCTAGGGAAGGGCCACAACAATATTCATGTCCCAAACAATTATACCAAGACGTAGCATCCAAATAACAGGATATAGTTATTTTTTGTATAATTATATTTCTTTTTTTTTTAAGATTTTATTTATTTATTTGACAGACAGAGATCACAAGTAGACAGAGAGGCAGGCAGAGAGAGAGAGAGGGAAGCAGGCTCCCTGCTGAGCAGAGAGCCCGATGCGGGACTCGATCCCAGGACCCTGAGATCATGACCTGAGCCGAAGGCAGCGGCTTAACCCACTGAGCCACCCAGGCGCCCTGTATAATTATATTTCTAATCACATAAATATTTCCCTCTTTTTTAAAATCTTTAATTGCTTTCCCTTTTTTTTATGGATAGAGACATAGAGAGGAATTAGTTATATTTCAATTTCTTCCTTAATTAGTTTCAGCCCTATAATGGTCACCACTTACAAGAGAAAGTCCAGAATGGCCAGCAATGCTTGAAAAAGCAGGTAAATCCTGAGTCAGCACACAGAAAAAGAAAACATATTCAATTTCCCACAATAGTCACATTTCCAAGTGGTATTTGGAATGTCATGTACTGAATTAGTATTAGGCAATTGAGATAGAATAACATTTACCTTAATTTTTAAAGAAGGTATTTTAAAAATAGGGGCACCTGGGTGGCTCAGTTGGTTAAGCGTCTGCCTTTGGCTCAGGTCATGATCCCAGAGTCCTAGGATCGAGCTCTGCATCAGGCTCCTTGCTTAGCGGGGAGCCCTCTTCTCCCTCTCCCTCTGCCTGCTGCTCTGCCTACTTATGCTTTCTCTGTCAAATAAATAAATAAAATCTTAAAAAAAAATTAGATAATAAATAAATAATAAAGTCTCCATTTCCCTAATACTCTTAAATTATCAGCATAAAGTAGCATTTTAATAAACTCACATTAAAAGCCAATAACCACCATGAATACAAGACTTATTTTATCTTTATTTGTGACTCTGCAGAGGTTTAAACCAGTAAATAAAAATCAATTTTCTTTTCACATAAAGGAAATTTGCTATTCCACTCTTATCTTCAGAATCATTGTAATAAAAACCTATTTGAAAAGGGTAAAAAAGAGAACTTCAAGGTCTTAAAACACTGTGCAAAAGTTAGTAACTGGGGGCACCTGGGTGGCTCAGTTGTTGAGTGTCTGCCTTCAGCTCGGGTCATGATCCCAGGGTCCTGGAATCGAGCCCTGCATCAGGCTCCCTGCTCAGTGGGAACCCTGTTTCTCTCTCTCCCTTTCCCACTCCCCCTGCTTGTGTTCCCTCTGTCAAATAATAAATAAAATCTTAAAAAAAAAAAAAAAGTAACTGGCTAAAAACAGACCAACCAACCACTGAAGGCCTGGCTCCTGTTTTCCTTCTCATATTTGGCTTCTGATCATTTGCTTAGGAGAGTAGTTTCCAAAGTCTGGGGTGTATCAGAATCACCTGGAGAGCAAAGAGAGCAGAGGGAAACCCAGGATCATTTACACAAGGAATGCCTGGGTCTCTGCATCTTTCCTAAATTCCCCAGCAATGTCTTCCAAATCAGGCTGGTCAAATGACCCGGGTAGGTTTGAAAAACAACCAATTATATTCCCACACCACGCCCCCTGGAAATTTTGATTCAGTAGGCTTGAGTTTTGGACCCAGAAATCTTAAAATGTACACATTTGATTTTTTAAAAATTTGAACAAACTTCCCAGGTGGTTCTGATAAGTCTGATTCAGGAACCACTTATTTAGGACAATGTATTTAAAATAAGTGTCTTTCAAAGAACTCTAGGACTCTGAGTTCACGAAGAATATTCATAACTTTGGGTGGGTTATAAATCACCATTCTGTGAGAATTCAACAAATGAAGCTGTGTAGAAGTGATTTGATACTAAAAACCCTACCCGATTTAGCATTTAAATTGCTTAATGATTTTCTGTCTGTCTACTCTCCCCACTCAGGCAAAGGTCTGCACATAAATGCGTTTCCTATGGCTGGTAAGTGGTAGGCACCAACGTGCTCAGAAGGAAGTGGCCCCGCAGGATTATGTCCTGTTAACCTCTGCCTCTTCCATTCAGACTCCCAGGGCTGTAAAGAACAGATCTATTTCAGGGCAGCACTGCCCAGCAATGTCACCTGCAGACTTAGGCATCAAGACACCAACCCTGAAACCTTGTGAACCCTGCTCCCACCCCACTGGTAGGGAGATACTAGAAAACCCTAATGGGACAATTGTTTCTTTGGGGGAAAGAAAGACTCTCATCACACACCACAGATAGCTTAAAAGCTTGACTATTCTTGACGCCAAGACAAGAGAAAGTCAATTATGACTTTAGACGCTTCAACAATGGTGTGACTTTTGGGTTACCTCCTGTGACCCAGGACCCACGGATATCCAGCCCCACTCCTTGCCTGCCTCGGAATCAAGAGGTTTAAATTCAAAGTCCAAGACAGAATCTGAAAGCAATAACCCAACACTGAATTTGGAAAATGCCCTTTGTTCTCATTTTCCTCGAAATCTGAAGTCAGATAAGACTGAGATACCCACATACATCAAATGGAAAAAGAAATGCAAAAACACGTGGGAATTAGGATCCTTAAACCACAGGTGCTGATCTCTAGTGCTCCTCACAAAACCCTAGATCACAAATTGAGGGATGAGGTGATCTTTATATGGAAGGTACTGAGCCCCGGGAGCCAGCAGCAAGCAGGAGCTTGCGGACACATGCAGAAACACACACGAGTCCCAGGTCTTTCCTTAGTGACGATGGTCCTCCTTCTGGACAGCTTGCAGGAGACAGTTCAAATGTGCTTAACAAGATTGCTGGGTGGGCATCTGAAGGGAAGAGTTGGAAACGGAGGAAGGAAAACAAGCCAGACGCTATTAGCAGCAGGCCCAGCTGGAGGGGGGCTTGGTCTGTAGGTTGATATAGTCCCCTTGGGTGGATAAAGACATATCTTCTCTGGAATTGCTCATCATCTTCTCAATGAGGACTCTAAAAAACAAGGAAAACAGACAGAAGACTGATTAAATGGATAGAACAATGGGAGAAATGACAGACCTTGTCTGTCTTATCACCAGACGGCATGCAGTCAAGCCATGAGGTTTAAACGCCCCTCTGTCCCCCGTTGTCTCAGGGGATAGGAGAGCATCCTTGACCTTCAGAAGCTGACATTCCAGTGGCTCAGTCTGCTCTGGTTTGCTCAGGAAAAGGAAAGAAGGTCCCGGGGCGCGGCAGCAGAAGGCAGGTAAGTCTGCATGCCTAACCTCAAAACAACACGAGCTACTCACCTCATGGCCTCATTAATATTTTTGTTCTCCTTGACGGATGTTTCTGTCCAGCCTGTGAAACCATTCTCTTTACTGAACCGGTCAACCTGGTCTCTGCTCACTGCCCAAGGGGACAGGTCACACTGGCAAAGAGAGTACATAAAAGGCAACACCATAAACTTCCGGGGAAGAGGAACACTGCTCAGATGCTTCTGGATGCAAAACCTTTCCGCCAGTGGCTGAGAACACCAGCATCTAAAATCTGGCCAACATTCTTCCCAAAGAAAGTCCCAGCATCCCTTGAAAGAAGGTAGAGATGATTTTGCCAACTTGAGAAGGGGAAATGGATGCCCGGAATCGGAGAGCCTTTTAGACATGCTTACTCTCCGACCGCAGAGAGAGGCCAGGGCCCATTTTCCTAGATTGACCACATACTTTGTTGGCCAAGAGCAGGCAGGGCACTGGCTCTCCGTTAGGCAGGGTGAGCTTGCTGTCCAAGTCCTGTTTCCATCTCTGGCTATTGCTGAAGGTCGTGGCGTTGGTAACGTCAAACATAATAATGCAGGCTGACGCATCCCGATAGTACAGTCGAGTCATGGAGGTGAAACGCTCCTGCCCTGGGAAGAAAGGAGGGAGCCCTTGAGTAGGTAATACTGAGAACCAGTCTCAGAACCCCCTCCGACACCCTGCCCTTTCTACCTTCCTTGTCGGGGAGGGCAGTATGCGCTGTGGCTGAGTCCAGACCGCCCAAGTCCAAGTCCCTGCTCTGTTATTTACTATCTGTATGACTTTGGGCAAGGGAAGCTTCCAGTGCCTCAGACTTCTCATCTGTACAGTAGGGATAGAGGCAGTAGCTTTCCTCTCAAGGTTGTGATGAGGATTAACGAGTCACTGAATCTCAAATGCTCAGGAAAGTGCTTGGCACATAGTAAAAAAGTCACCTATTGTTATTATTGTTTCTATTTTCTGGGGGTCTTCTTTCTCCCCAAGGTCATCTGAAACGAAGGAAAAAGCACCCTCCCTCGTCTCTGAGAGCACCCACCTATGGTCTGGACCATCTACCGCCTTGCCAGCCATTCCACCCACAGAGAGACGGCTCGACATTTATTCAGGGCAAAACATCTACAGAAAATATCTACAAACACTCTCCATCCGCCACAACGCAACCATTCCAGCTCCAGAAAAACACCTTCTGGTAATGTGACGCCTGGGTGGCTCAGTCCATTGAGCATCTGCCTTCAGCTCAGGTCATGATCCCAGGACCCCCCCCCCCACATCAGGCTCCCTGCCCAGTGGGGAGTCTGCTTCTCTCTGCCCCTTCACCTCTCTCCTACTCATGCGCTCTCTCTCTCTCTCTCTCAAACAAATAAATAAAATCTTAAAAACAAAACAAAACAAAAAACCTTCTGGTTTTGCTACCCCCCTTTTTCTGAGAGCTTGCTGATTAAACCAAAATGTCTTCCCTGGTTCCTATCCCATCTCCCCAGCCTACCTGCAATATCCCACAGCTGGAGCCGCACCATCTCGGAGTCAGACCACTGGAGAACCTTCAGAGCAAAATCCACTGGAAATACATGTACAATTGAATAAAATTTACCTTTAAAAAAATCCGTGAATAAACTCAGATCAAATATGCGGTTACAACCCTAGAGACATACAACTCTGATCCCATGTATCGATTTATTTTTAGGCTCTCAATGGGTTGAGATGAACCCACACAAAGGCTTTTAAGAGTGGAACAGACAATTCTCTCTTTTTTAAAACATTGTTCTATTTAAAGTGAACTCTACCTCCAGCGTGGGATTTGAACTTACGACCCCAAGATCAAGATTTGCATGGTCTTCTGACGGAGGCAGTCAGGTGTCTTCAGGGACCACTAGCACAGATAACTCATTACCACTCTCTGAAGGGGTCCTCAGCTTTTACTCTCTCAACAGACTAATGTATTTGATACTACTTGTCCCTCAGGCTGGGGTTAGGAGGTATGGAAGCAATTATGAAAACAATTCCTGATCTCAAGTGAAACAGTTTCTGGAAGATCTAGGGGGGTTTTCTGGGGGAAGGGATGATAGGGCAAAAGGGGGAAATGAGGTAAGTGTGGTGGCTTTTGCATCTTCCACATTCAATTTCACTGTTGGTTTCTAATCCAATTGTATTATGAGAAAAACACTGGGGGAATTCTACACCCTCCACAAGGCTGTAGGGATTACTCTGGGTGGGAATAGGGTCAAGGGAACAGGTCCCAGAGGATTCCAAGGAAGAAGACACCCTATGGAAGGTGCTTGAGAGCTGTGCTCCAATGCTGAGACTCCAGAAGCTAAGCCTGAAAGAGTATGCCACAGGGACAATCTTTTGAGGAGAGAAACAGAGGAACTTCCCAGAATTGGAAACACATTTTTCCATATCTGTGACAGAAATGAAAGCTAGGGGAAATTTAGAATAAACACGGAAAAAAAAAAAATTAGCCAGAGCCATTCTTCTTTACTAAAGGAAAACTAGAGCCATTGCTAAAAACGAATTCGTGAAACACTTTTAACCAAACCCATGAAATAAGAGCCCTTCTATTATTTATGAGTTTGGGGCAGAATGGTAGGGAAATCCTGGATGTTGCTGGATGTCCTCAAGGAGGATGTTTTCATTGCAATGTTCATGCTTCTTAATTTTTTAATTCCCTAAGTAACCATCTTCAAAATTTACATTAGTGTAGGTTTTTTTTTCCTTAAAAAACGTTCTCTTAATGTTTAACTCTCCCCTTTTGCCAACTCTTCCCAACTAAAGACCTTAACAAAAAGGCAGTTCTACTTCTGGGAAAGACAAAAAGTTGAGCCCAAGGCCGTCCCTAGAAAGAAATGAATGAACTTGGTGTTCCCTTCCTTCCCGCTGCACGCCCCCCGCCCCGCCCCCCCCATGCCAGCTTGAGAGAAAGGGGGGTGGGAAGACAGGTCGGATACCTTGAATAATTTCTAGCTGTCTTTATTTTAAGCAATCCATGGACAAAAATACACACAGCTCATCAGCCTTGGTGAGCATCAGAGATAGTGCGGCTCAGGGGCTCTCCCACGCAGGCATCCCCCAAACAAAGGGAGGCTCCTTAAGGCCAGACGACACCTTCCTGTTCCTTCATCAGCTACCTGTGAGATATGGGTCGAGGGCCCCAGCTGGCACCGAACTAGGCCTCCCCGAGGGGGTCCCAGCGGCCTCGGCTGATCGCAGAGATTTGCGGGTGACCGCTCCGGAGGCTACGGGAGACCTGAGCTCACGGTGCCCCCGAGGAACGAACCACTGCGTATTTCCTCAACCTCCCTACCCCATTCCTCCTCTTCACACCTTCGCCCAGTCCCTCTCCAGGCGGTCAGCTCCGACTGCGTGAACCTCATCGGGGAAACCCAAGAGAAACGTGCAAATCGAACACCCGCAAGTACTCCCTCCAGGCTCCCGGACACCTACTTCCTGAGCCGAGTAAGGACCCAAGGCCACCGAGCCCCCGGCGGGCTCCTCACCCGCGGGGGTCCACCCCGCCCCCGCGGCGACGTCTCACCTCCCACCGTGGACTTGTAGTGTTTGCTGAAGCTGTCCTGCGAGTACCGCTGCACGAGCGACGTCTTGCCCACCGCGGCGTCCCCCACCACCAGCACTTTGAACAGGTGATCTCTGCCGCCCATGGCTGGCGGGCCGGACGGGTGAAGGAGGCAGCGGGGTGGGTGGGTGGGGAGGTGTCTGTGGAGGGAGTCGTCTGTTTTAACCCCTTCGGCTCCCCTACAAACTGAAGTTCGGCATTGCAGCCCACCGCCGGTTGGGGCTGCTCTGACGAGAAAAAAGAAAGGGAAACTTCGCACTCAGCCTTTACGCGCTTCCTCCCCGCGCGGCCTCAGCCTGGGTGGGGCCCAGGGCCCGAGCTCCGAGCCCCGGGACTGTTTGCACCGTCTCCCCCACCCCGCCCCGCTGCCGAGAAACCGGACCCGACGCGGCGGTGCCTCGCCCACCGGGACTTCCCCGGAGCGGTGCCCCGGGCGACTGAAGCCGGGGCCAGGTCATTTCACAGTCGGGGTCAGGTGATGGGGTCTTCCCCGCCCGACACAAACCAAATTCGGGGAAAAGAGCGGCTCACGCTTGGATTCCCGAGACCCTGGACCGCCTCAGGCTGCGCGGTCCCAGTTCTCCGCACGCGTCACGAGCGGGGCAGCTTGGAGCACTACGTTTCCCAGGTTACCACGCGGCGAAGAGACCTAGAAGAGTGCAGAAACTCGCCGCGAGGCCACCTGGGAAATGTAGTTTATGAACCCCCCCAAAATCTACACCTAATTTCAAGGCTTTCAAACTCCTTCGACGGTTCGAAATCTTATTTTAAAGTCATTCTGTTATAGAAAGATTCTTTGGAGGCTCTTTGTTCCATATGATTTCACCTGCCTGAATCCTTCTCCAGATTGATTTCTCATGATCTTTAAAGGTTTTATGGAACTGAGGCGTCTGGGTGGCTCAGTTGGTTGGGCCATTGCCTTTGGCTCTGGTGATGATCCCGGTTGGTCATCCCGGAGTCGTGGGATCAAGTCCCTTGTTGGGCTCCCTGCTCTGCCCTCTCACCTTCTCCCCTCTCATGCTCTCTCTCACTCTTTCTCTCTCTCTTTCAAATAAATAAATAAAATCTTTTTTTTTTAAATAAAGGTTTTATGGTACTAAGATTAAAAATTATTCCATAGATTCCATAAATTATTCTACTAATAGAAACTCAAGCCTCATCCTTCATGCTCCTAGCAAAGTCCATTTGCTATTACTTTAATATATTTATTTATTTTAGGGGCGCCTGGGTGGCTCAGTGGGTTAAGCCGCTGCCTTCGGCTCAGGTCATGATCTCAGGGTCCTGGGATCGAGCCCCGCATCGGGCTCTCTGCTCAGCAGGGAGCCTGCTTCCTCCTCTCTCTCTGCCTGCCTCTCTGCCTGCTTGTGATCTCTCTCTGTCAAATAAATAAATAAAATCTTTAAAAAAATATATATATATATTTATTTATTTTATATCTTTAAATTTATTTATATATTTATATATTTATATTATTTGTATATTTATATATTTATTTATATATATTTTTATTTATATTTACTTTAATTACTTTAAGATAGACAAGCCCAGGATCCTATGAATATGAAAGTTAGCTCTTTTATTTGCCATATGACCCAGTATCAGTCAGGTTTGGGAACATTTGATCAAGAGATTGACCCTTAGGAAATCTCATGCCATTAAATGTCAGATATTATCATTTGATAACTGGCCACAGCAGTAAAGGTAGAAAACAAAAGACAGTTCCTCATTCTCACTCCCACCATTCCTAGCCTATCATTTGAGCTGGATGGAAGTCCATTAGAGCACACTGGGAGACCTCCTCCATCTGTTGTTGCTGTTGCTCATAAATAATGATTAACCTACAGTTTTGCAATGACTTAAATTTTTCAGCCCATAATTTTTCTGACTTGTCCCATCGTTAGTTAAAGAGTTAAGGGGACATGAGTTTCATAGCAAGCAAAATAGCTCCGTTCTCTGGGCTGTTGGCCCAGAGGAGACGAGAAAAAAACAAGGCTATGGGAAACACAGCTCTGCCCAGGTCTCTTGATAGAGAGGCTATAACTTATACCCTGCGAGGAAAGAACATTGGCGTGGTTCTCAAGGTATTTAGCCCAAAATGTTTGTAACCCAGGTATGGGAGGTCAAGCTGGCTACCCATCTTTCCAGATGTCTGAGACCCCTTTCCAGCAGTCTCTTCTCAGTTCCCATTGGTTTTGACATTAACTACTCTTTGACATTTATTTCTCACATGGCTTTCTTGTTCATCCTCCTATCTCTCTGATGATAATCACCTTTTTCTTTTATGGTTTATTTTCTGTCCCATAGCCCCCCAAAGGGGCTATTTTCTAAGGCTTGGCTCTTAATCCCTGAGTTAATCATTCTTTAAACTCTCTCTCTTTTTTTTTCTTAAAGATTTATTTACTTATTTGAGAGGGAGAAAGGAGAGTGTGCACACTAGCAGGAGGCGCAGGGGGAGAGGGAGAGAGAATCTCGAGCAGACTTCACAGTGGAGCCCGAGGTGGGGCTCAATCTCACGACCCTGAGATCAGGATCTGAGCTGAAATCAAGAGTCAGACACTCAACTGCCTATGCCACCCAGGTGCCACTCATTCTTTAAACTCTTTAATGAAGGGGCACCTGGGTGGCTCAGTGGGTTAAAGCCTCTGCTTTCAGCTCAGGTCATGATCCCAGGGTCCTATGATCGAGCCCCGCATCGGGCTCTCTGCTAAGCAGGGAGCCTGCTTCCTCCTCTCTCTCTGCCTGCCTCTCTGCCTACTTGTGATCTCTGTCTGGCAAATAAATAATAAAATCTTTAAAAAATAAAAAAAAATTAGATAAATTCTTTAATGAATTGTCTTTGGCTTCATCTCTCTCTCTCTTTTTTAAAGATTTTATTTATTTATTTATTTATTTGACAGAGAGAGAGATCACAAGTAGGCAGAGAGACAGGCAGAGAGAGAGAGGGAGAAAGCAGGCTCCCCGCTGATCAGAGAGCCTGATGCAGGGCTCGATCCCAGGACCCCGAGATCATGACCTCAGCCAAAGGCAGAGGCTTAACCCACTGAGCTACCCAGGCGCCCTGGGTTCATATATCTCTTAGTCTTGATTTTATTTATATTTTTTATCTCCAATCGGTTATGTTCAACTGCCATGAAGGTACCTCTACTTGGATGTCCTTTCATAGCTTCCCTCTTACTACAGCTTCATGAAAACAGCTCCTTTTTTCAGGTTCCTCATTTTTGTCACTGATCTCATTGTTTCTTCCTTCCACTCAGGCTTTGAACCTCGAGCATTTAAAAATTTTTATTTTACTGTGGCAGGAATTCTTAACGTAAGACCTATTCTCTTAACAAAATTTTAAATGTGTAACACCATTCAAAAATTACAAATGTGTAAGTGTGCCATAGAGGTACTGTGTCTTACAGCAGATCTCTAGAACTTACTCATCTTGCTTAACTGAAACTTAGGCCCATTGATTAGTAACTCCCAATTCCTCCCTCCCCCATTTTTTTGGCAACCACTATTCCACCCTTTGATTCTATAAATTTGTCTGTTTTATTTTTATTTATTTATTTTTTTAAAGATTTTATTTATTTATTTCAGAGAGAGAGCACAGAGGGAGAGTAGGAGGCAGAAGAAGACTCCTTGCTGAGCAGGGAGCCTGAAGCCGTGCTTGATCCCAGGACCCTGAGATCATAACCTGAGCCAAAGGCAGACACTTAACCAACTGAGTTTCCCAGGTGCCCCATATTTGTATTTTTATTTTTTTTAAGATGTATTTATCTAGAGAGAGAGAGAGCGGGCATGCGCATGTGTGCTCGCACACAGTGTAGGGTGGTTGGGCAAAAGAAGAGAGAGAATCTCAAGCAGACTCCCCGTTGAGCTCTCCGGGGACCGAGACCCACTGGGGACTCCATCCCACGACCTGAGATCATGACCTCGGCCAAACCGAGAACTGGATGCCCAGACACCCCTAAATTTGTCTATTTTAGATATCATATAAATGGAATCACGCAGTAGTTAGTAGTTGTCTTTCTGTGATTTGGTCATTTCACTTAGCATAATGTCCTCAAGGTTCATTCATGTGGTTGCCTACTGCAGAATTTCCACTTTTATGGAAGGCTAAATGATATTCCACTGTAAGCATATACCCATTTCCTTCATCTATTTGTCTATCAATGGACATTTAGGTTGCTTCCATGTCTTGGTTATTTGTGAATAGAGGTTAATGAACATGGTAGTGCTATGCTAATATCTCTTCAAGCTTCTGATTTCAATTCTCTTGCATAATTACCCAGAAGTGGGATTGCTGGATCATATGGCAGTTCTATGATTAATTTTTTGAGGAACTGCCATACCGTTTTTCCAGAATGGCTGCACCATTTTGCTTTCCAACCAATAGTGTGCAAGGGTTCCAGTTTCTCCACATTCTTGCCTACAGCTGTCTTTTTATTTTTCTTGGGTAATAGCGATCTTAACAGGTGTGAAATAATATCCCATTGAGGTTTTGATTGGTATTTCCCTAATGATGAGTGACATTGAACATTCTTTTATCTACCTGTTGGCCCTCTGCATGTCTTCTTTGGAGAAATGCCATTTTTTAATCACGTTATTAGTTTTGTTATTATTATTATTATTATTTTTGCTATTGCAGGCCTCGAGTGTTATGAACACTTCCTTTTACACACATCACTTTATAGCCCCCTCCCTTTAAAAAAGCTGGTCACCACATCATCTGATTCTTCTTTCTTTCTTTTTTTTTTTTTAAGATTTTATTTATGTAGTATTTGACAGACAGAAATCACAGGTAGGCAGAGGCACCCAGGCGCCCATCTTTCTTTTCTTCCTTTTTTTTTTTTTTTAAGATTTTATTTATTTATTTGACAGACATCACAAGTAGGCAGAGAGGCAGGCGGGGGGGGGGTGGGGAAGTGGGCTCCCCGCTGAGCAGAGAGCCCGATGCGGGACTCGATCCCAGGACCCTGAGATCATGACCTGAGCTGAAGGCAGAGGCTTAACTCACTGAGCCACCCAGGAGCCCCCTGATTCTTCTTTCAAAACATTTCTCCACCCACTCTTTTTGCTTCATGTTAGGGTCCCTTTCCTGGTTTAGGCTTTCATTATCTCATGCCTCGATCATCTTTAATAACTTGTTCGTTGGTCTGCCTGATTC